GATAAGCTCAGTGTGTTAGCCACTGAGCCACCCTTTGGCTTAGATATTGGGTAGCTATACTGGCTGATATTTGGTGGTTATTGTGGCCTTTAAACTAACGCTGATGTCTTATATGCTTTGTATGAATGTAGCAATTATTTTGGTAACTTTTTTTTAAATTTATTTTTATTGATTTTACAACAACAACACAACACAACACAACATACAAAACACAAACACATGATATGTGTTTCTTTTTACGTATTAGTTTCATTCCTCTTACTTTCTACTATATACATTCCCCCATTTTTCCCATCCTTTATTATCATTATCTTTATCGTCCCTTTATTTTTAATTTTCTTCATTTACAATATTTTACACATTTGTCACTCCATCATTTATTCACATTTACTTTCCCTAATCTCGAGCCACTCATACCACTTAGTCCATACTTGATAATATTCTGTATCTTCCTTTTCTTTTATTTCTTTCGTTAATTTGTCCATCTCTCTGGTAACTTTAGTCTGTTTTCCCTCATCTGGCAGATCAACTTTAGACCAACCATTTCCTCCCATTATTCACCAGCCTTAAGACCAAGAGAAGATAAAAGACTTTCTTAATCTGGTGCAGCCTGCTTAATGGCTGGGAATAAACAAAATAGCCTACATTTTCTCTGCACCATCTACTTTCTCTGAAAGAAAAACACTTTTCATTTGGCTGCTGCAAGTTTCTGTTTGCCGGGGGTTTCAAAGCTCCATACGATAGGTTGCCTCCTATATCTAGGTCAAGGTTACTGCTGTATTGGCAACTCTGTTCCGCTGACACTGAGTGAAAGTTTCAAATGGGATGGAACAAATGCTGCACAGATGCCTACAATTTGGTCAAGTAGCCCATTCCTCCGCCATCTCACCAGCCTCAACCTGCTGTACTGTCGTCCAAAGTCAGAGAATCAAGAGAATAACAGAGTTGGAGGGGACCTTGGAGGTCTTCTAGTCTAACCCCCTGCTCAAGCAAGAAACCCTATACCACTTCAGACAAATGGCTGTCCAATCTCTCCTTAAAACCCTCCAGAGTTGGAGCATTTACAACTTCTGGAGGCAAGTTGTTCCACTGATTAATTGTTCTAACTGTCAGGAAATTTCTCCTTAGTTCTAAATTGCTTCTCTCCTTGATGAGTTTCCATCCATTGCTTCTTGTCCTGCCCTCAGGTGCTTTGGAGAATAGCTTGACTCCCTCTTCTTTGTGGCAGCCCCTGAGATATTGGAGCACTGCTATCATGTCACCCATAGTCCTTCTTTTCGTTAAGCTAGATCAGGGGTCTGCAACCTTAAACACTCAAAGAGCCATTTGGACCCATTTCCCACAGAAAAGAAAACATCGGGAGCCACAAAACCCATCCCATGCCTATTTCTTGAGCGGCCACAAAACTAGCATATGTAGTTGAATTTAACGTTCTCTTTTCTTCTGAAACTTTTCTTTTCTTGGATTTATCCATGGTTGGCCTACCGGTGGATGTCACACGTTGGCGGTTGTGATGCATATTTTGAATGACAGGGAGCCGCAGCAGAGGGGTGAAAGAGCCACATGCGGCTCCAGAGCCACAGGTTGCTGACCCCTGAACTAGACATACCCAGTTCCTGCAACCGTTCTTCATATGTTTCAGCCTCCAGTCCCCTAATCATCTTTGTTGCTCTTCTCTGCACTCTTTCTTAGAATCTCAATATCTTTTTTATATTGTGGCTGCCAAAGAGAACCATGACCCAATAGCATCCAAGCCCACCAAGTGTCCATTCTGATGTGCATCGTTCTCCTATCAATGCTTGTAGGCCTCTTTTCTTTTTTTTTTTTTTTTTGGTTCGTGTGGCAAATTGAAGGCAGGGAAGAAAATCTAAACCAGGCAATTCTTATGCTCAACGCTCACTTGCAACTTGGCACCGAAAAAATAAAAATAAAACTTCAGCATAAGCATCATGTTTATAAACAAAAGCCTTCCTGCTTTGCTTTCCTTCCAGGTGTTTTGACACTTCATTTTAAATAAGTCCCTAAAAAAAAAAAAGGAATCACAAAAAAGAGAATCTGAGATTTGGGATGGGGGAAGCCACCTCATCTCGAGTATTTGTTTCGTCTTTCGAGTTCAGGCAGTTTTTTTTTTTCCCCCCTCTGGGATGACTCAGACTTTCTGCACCAGGGTGTCATTTTCTCACATTCATAACTTCACCCCTTTTCTATAAATTTCCTGCTGTGTGGTTGTCTTTCATCTAAACAATCTCATTTCTATGGTCATCCTCAGCAATGAGGAAATTAAAAGCAGAGCGCTTTAACGTCTCCTTTCGCCTTTGCCGTGTCCTATCCGTATCTTAATCTCTTTCCGCTTGAAAACTCTGCTTTGGAATGTGCTTGATGGGCGTTTTAATAAGGTAAGCTGCCTTTAGTCTCCTTCGCTTTGCGGAGGAGACATTTGGAAAAGAGGGAGAAGAAGGGAAAGGAATTTAAATGTTCTTAGGCTCTGGGTTCCAAGCCTTTTGGATGGGAAAGGATGCTGAGCAGTTAATGATCTTACTTCCAAGCAATTTGGAAGATCAAAAATGTTGCTTTGAAATGCAATTTAGTGGGGTTTCTAGAAATACCATGGAGGAGCAGGTAATCTACCGTATGGAGCTGTCACTGTGCACCTGCCGGCAACACATTAATGTCACCCCAAGAAGTTAGGGATCATTGATTCTACTCAGGGCAGCTGGCTCAGTGCCCTGATGGAGGGGAAGCAGGTGGAACTTTTTCTGGTAGAAAATCTTTTCCTGAGGTAGCACCATCTTCTCTGTTTGTCAACAAGACCAACTAGATAGGGAGGGGGAAAATATCTTAATCCTGCCAATATGTTTAAATATTTGACTTGTCTGCAAATTAACTTGCCTTATCTTGAATTAAATGATCGGTAGATTTATCAACAATGCCCAGATAGCAAAGTAACATAATTGGAAAAGACCTTGGAGGTCTTCTACTCCAACCCCCTGCTCAACTCCTCCTCCTCCTCCTCCTCCTCCTCCTCCTCCTCCTCCTTCCTAGCATATTTGCACAAGTGCAGGCTCCACTTTTTGGAACATTTGAACGCCACTTTACACAGTCAACTGCATCTCCCCCTACTCAGTTAGAAGACTCTATACCTTTCCAGACAAATTATTGTCCAATTTCTTCTTTAAAACCTCCAGTAATGGAGCACTCACAACTTCTGGAGTCAAGCAGCTCCACTGATTAATTGTTCTAATAGGAAAGACAAACAGCTACTAGTTTGACAGAAAAGACATTTGAGGGCCTGTCCCAGTTTAGTTATTCTACTCATGGTTAAAATAACTGTCTTCTAATGATATATTAATAGAAAAAAAGTAGGTGAAACACCAAGATCGTTCATTATAGGATGATTATATGGGATGATTTTAGTATATGAAGGTAAGGTTTAACTGGCAATGTAAGTCATGGAATCTGAGTGAAGCCTATCACCAAATATTAAACTACTATTTACTCCAACTATTTGCAAACTGTCAGTAATCCCTGCAGTAGAAACAGGAGTTACTGAAATGCAACCTTAGCCGGTTCTTGCTGTTCAAAGCTGAGTTTTACAGCAGCAGGTATGGTCTGTTGGAAAAAGATGCTCCAATCTATAACTTCTGTTCAAGGGAGAATCTGTTTTTTCAGGAGCAGAAATTACTTGCACAGTCATTGTCCTCCAATGGTTACCAGAAATACTGCTAGGTTTCCCAGCGTGTCATCTCTAGCCTCAGGAGGTCTTTTATGGGGTCATGCTAAAATCATGTTATCGTAATTTTATTTTTGTCTCTTGAGGCGGTCTGGAAAAGTCCCAGTTTTCTTGGCAAGGTTTTTCAGAAGGGGTTTGTCATTGCCTGCTTCTTAGAGAGAAAGGGACTGGCCCAATGTCACCCAACTGTGCCTAAGACAGGACTAGAACTGAGTCTTCTCCCAGTTTAACCACTACACCAAAGTCACTATGGTGTTAATATTAGAAATACCTAATCAAGGAAGCACCTCTTTGAGTTTTAGGTTTCTAAAGAAAAAAAAAAAAAGAAAGGCAAAACCACAGTTGTTGTTTTTTTGCAGCATTATAATAATTATTTTTTATATCAATCAGGTTATTTTTTTTACTTGTCTTCATCCTTCCCTCTTAAATTTCTTTAAATTTCCAAGGCAAAAAAAAAAGGGGGGGCAGAATTCATACTAACATTTTACACACTTGGACATTTAAACGTTAAGCAACAACTAAAACTGAACTAAAAAGGACTCTTCATGGATCAGGACAGACTCTGAAACGTGACTTTCCAATCTGTATTGGAATGAACATTGGATGAAAATACGCTCTGATAATCGTCCGGGACAGAACGAGACGGTTCAAGTCTAAATAGGCATAAATTTCCCCATAATCCCACACCAGAAAAAACAGTTCCCCCGCACCCACCCGCACCCACCCCCACTTTACAAATTTCTTGCTTACTCCTAAGAGCTCCGTCTTTGCACTGGATCCGGCAACCAATACAGTACCATCATCCTCTCTTTTTTCTTTGACTCGGTGGCTCAGTGGCTAAGAAACTGAGCTTGTCGATCAGAAAGGTCGGCGGTTCGAATCCCTAGTACAGGTCTCTTGCGTTGAGCAGGGGGTTTAATTTAATTTAATTTAATTAATTCAATTTATATGCCGCCCCTCTCCGAAGACTCAGGGCGGGTTGGACTAGATGACCTCCAAAGTCCCTTCCAACTCTTGTTACTGTTTTTTTTCCCTTTTAACTACCGATTTCTCTGCCGTTCGGCGACTTTTCCTGCCCGTCTGATTTGGGGCAAGGTCCCTGTCCCAGGTTGTTTCTTCGATCCGACCAGAGTGAAAACTACACAGTACTCTAGTCTAGTGTAGAATAGACGCGAACCTCAAGCGAGAGAAGTCTGTTAATAGGGAGGATGAGGGTGAGGAAGGGCTCCCACCCACCCCGTCCGACCGGAGTGAGAACTACATCTTACACCTTGGAGTCAGCGGGCGCGGAAGCTTTTAAGTCTTTAAGAAATCCTGGAAAGCCGAGGTGGGTTTTCCCTGTTCCGACCGGAGTGGGAACTGCCGCGTTCCAAGGAGAGCGCTGGCGGTGGGTGGGAAAATAGGCTCATTCTGTTCTGCTGTTCCCAGCCGGCGCACGTTCCTCTGCAGAGTAGCCGAAGAAGAGGGCGAGGGGTGCGGCGGCCCCCTTGGGGGTTCAGAACAGTTTGTCGGAGCTTTCCTGGCTGCCTTCTCGATTAACCGCGGAAGGGTCTAAAATAGGAGCCCAGCCTTCCAAGATGCGGAAAGTGACACCGGATCGACTGCCCCAAACAGCGCCCTAACTCCGGCTTCTGTAAGTTAGCCTTCGGGTTGTGTGGGTTTGCGTGTCGGAGCAAGGCGTACTAGCAGTGGGAAGGCGGCGATGGCGGAGAGCCCCCCCCCACCTCTCAAGCGCCTGGCTTTCCGACCTTTAAATCGGGCGCTTGTGTTTTGTTTTTTTTCGGAAGGTAACTTTGTGCACCGCCATCAAGCCTGTTGAGAGGTTCCTTTCGGTGCGTTCTGAGATGCCGTCAAATAAACCTCGTTGGCTTTTCAACCCCTTTTGCGTGGGGGCTTGTAGAACAGATCTCAAATGCTGCCCGACTAGGTGGCTCAGGGGCTAAGACGCTGAGTTTGTCGATCAGTAAGGTCGGTGGTTCGAATCCCTAGTACAGGTCGTCTGCCTGAGCAGGGGGTTGGACTAGATGACCTCCAAGTTCCCTTCCAACTCTGTTACTGTTTTAAAAAAAGACCTCTTTGTGTGTGTTTGTGTTACCAGTTGGAACCAAACCAGTGTTGTCGAATAGCGGAGGGTCAACCATCTGTCCCCTCGCTCCCCTGGGTGAAGTTTTCAGTATTGAGTCAAATTAAGAGCCGCGGGCTCCACGGCTGATGGTGTCCCCCTCCTAGTCAATTCCAGCTTTGCAACCAAAGTTCCAGCTTTGCAACCATATTTCCCCCTCCCCTGAAACGCAAAAATCTAGGAAGCTGATGCTGAAATCCAAGAACTTCCAAGCTTGACCTCCAATATCAATATTGGATAATATTGGATATTGGATATCAATAACCTTGGGGTTGCCAATGCCAATGCCAATCTCACCCACCTTTGGCTAGCTCTCTGCATGTTCATTTGTGAGCTTGATCATTTTGGGGCTACAGTATCTTCTGAAGCTGACATGCCACACTATTTCATTGATATAAGAGTAATGGGAAGGAATTTTAGATCACTTTTCTTTTATGTACTCTGAGAGCGTATGCACCAAAGACAAATTCCTTGTGTGTCCAATCACACTTGGCTAATAAAGAATTCTATTCTATTCTATTCTATTCTATTTGCCTGACTTGGTGGCTCAGTGGCTAAGACACTGAGCTTGTCGATAAGAAAGGTCAGCAGTTCGGCGGTTCAAATCCCTAGTACAGTTCTCCTGCATGAGCACGTTGGACTAGATTACCTCCAAGGTCCCTTCCAACTCTGTTGCTGTCAGTTGTTAGATATGAGAGATGGTGAGGAGGCTAGAAAAGGAATCAAAAGGACAAGGGTGAAGAGATAAAAGATGAGGCTATCGACAGCATTTTTCATAAACTGCAATTCAGTCTGTGGAGCAAGAAATCTGTAAGTCATTAGTGGGAACCATCTTTGGGAAAGTCTTCATGTGACGTCTATGTAATTTTCTTGGCTACAGTGTGCGTTTCGCCTTTGTTTTCTTCTGGGATGTATTTTCAATGTCTCAGACTCACTTGAAACCTTGAGTTTCCTAGTGGTCTCCCATTCAGGTACTGATGTGGTCTACCTGCTTAGGTTTTCCAAGATTGCTCATGTTTTAAAAGTTTACTTCAACTATCCATCTTCTCTACCTCCCGTCTTCTGAATTTTAAAAAATATGCCTGACTGGTTTGATTTCTCTTCCACTACGCATACAGGAGCTCAAGGTTCCTTCCAGTATAACAGGGGTCCTCAAACTTTTTAAGCAGGGGGCCAGTTCACTGTCCCTCAGACTATTGGGGGGGCGGACCAACTGGATCGGTGTGGCTAGGTGGTCATGTGACTGGGTGGGTGTGGCTAGGTGGTCATGTGACTGGGCGTGGCCAATTTAGCCATTCATGTTGCCTTTGTCTTCCTAAACTGTACTTGCTGAACCCAAGGCATCTATTTATTTAATTAACAACCCTTTGAAGTTGGGCTGAGAGAGTGACAGTGAGAGAGTCTCTTGTGGGTTTCTGTGGCCAAGGGGGGGCTTGAACAGATGCCAGCCTGACCCCTTGACTCCTTCATCTCACCAGCTGTCAGTGCCATTGAACTGTGAAAAACATCCACAGAATTGGAACAGGCTGCGGGAAAATATTTTTCTTCTACTTTGGAATAAATGAATGTGAAAAGATGACCAGAAGTTATTACTCCACTCCAGTCATGCTTCATTTCCATGTGAACATCAAATAATCAGGAAACTTGTTGACTCTTAATTAGGAATATGGAAATACCATTTTTTTATTAAGTAGTCCTTAACTTATGACCACAGTTGAGTCCTTAGCAAATTTCCTTTGCCTAAGCAAGACAGTTGTTAAGTGACATTTGCCCCATTTTACAACCTTTTTTGCCACTGTTGCTAAGGGAATCACTGCAGTTCTTTGGTCAGAAGCAAGGTTGTTGAGTGAATCTGGCAAGCAATTTAATTTAATTAATTAATTAATTTATTCATTCAATTATTCAATTATTCAATTATTTAATTATTTAATTTCTATTGCCTCCTATTCGCCCACGGCGACTCAAGGCGACTTACAGACCACATTTAAAACAATAAAAACTAACAAAAAGAATCAAATAAATTAATACAGTACAATAGAACAAAATCACCTCCCACCCCAGTGACAGTAGATCACATGAGCCATTGAATGGGCTCCATCCTGCTCTTGGTTCCCGAGGCCTGCTGTCAGAACCAGGTCTTCAGCGCCTACTGGAAGAGAATTAGAGTGGGGACCATTCTAATCTCTGGGGGGATGATGTTCCAGAGAGAGGGAGCCACCACGGAGAAGGCCCTTCTTCTGGGTCCCACCAGGTATATCTCCCTTGGGGATGGGCCCCTCAACATTCCCTGCCTCCCAGCTCTGATGGGTCGGGTAAATGTGACTGGCAAGTGACGGTCTCTCAGATAACCTGGTCCTAAGCCATGAAGGACTTTAAAGATGACAACCAACACCTTGAATTGCACCCGGAAGCAAATTGGCAACCAATGCAGCTCCTGCAGGACAGGTGATACATGTGCACACCAGGGTCTGCACAAAACCATGCGGGCGACTGCATTTTACATCAACTGGAGCTTCCGGATGCTCTTCAAGGGCAGCCCCATGTAGAGCACATTGTAGACTTTGCTTGCTAGAGGGTCGCAAAAGATGATCACATGATCCCACAACAACGCAACAGTCATAAATGGCCAGTTGCCAAGCATCCAAATTTTTGATCACAGACTGAATTGAAGTGTGAAAAACCTGTCATAAGTCGCTTTTTATGAGCCACAGTGGCGCAGTGGTTAGAGTGCAGTACTGCTGGCTACTTCTGCTGACTGCCAGCTGCCTTCAATTTGGCAGTTCAAATCTCACCAGGCTCAAGGTTGACTCAGCCTTCCATCCTTCCAAGGTGGGTAAAATGAGGACCCAAATTGTTGGGGGCAATAGGCTGACTCTGTAAACCGCTTAGAGAAGGCTGTAAAGCACTGTGAAGCATATAAGTCTAAGGTATATAAGTCTAAGTACTATTTTTCCTAAAATTTTATTTATTTATAAAACAACACAATATAACAAACACAAAACATATATTCCCTTTTTACAACAGTTTCGTAATGGTAATCTTCTATTGTTTACGTTTCCCCCCTAATTCTCCTTATAATATATATATATATTCTTCCTGTCCCATTATCCCTTAGTACTCTATAACTTCCTTCGCACATAATATTAATTTTATACATTATCCTACAAACACTTTCCGTTTGAATTTTTTTTAAAAAAATGCTATTGCTATTTTTCATTGCTGTTGCAACGTTATACAGTTACTAAACGAATGGTTGTAGGTTGTACCTGTAACAAGTTTTATTAAGAGGCACAAGCTTAAGTGATCTGCCAGTTGACAAGCACTCTGTGTGAAAAGGTAAAGGTCTCTCTGTGGATTTGACTCTGCTAGTCATCGCCGACTATTTTTCTTTCAAGGCCATTGAGCCAGTGCTGTCCGAAGACATTTCCGTGGTCATGTGGCCAGCATGACATCATGAGGAGCTGTTACCTATTTATCTACTCACATCTCCATGCTTTCAAACTGCTAAGGAGCACTCTGTGCACCTGATGAAAAGAACCTCAGTTCACTGAAAAAATGTGTGCTGTCTAATAAAATTTGCTGGTTTGAAAAGGTGCTGTCAGATTGCTCCTGATTTTGGCCTTCTATCCACGAACATGACTTTTACGTGGCTTTGAGTAAGACTAGAATGCTTTGAGTAACTGAAGCTGGGCTTTCTCTTGAATGAAAACGGAGTGCAAGGCTGCCCCCTGATGTCGATTTTCAGCCAAACAGATAACATTTTGGGGTTCAAGCGGGGAAGAGATTATATACGGGTCAATAAAATAATCTGTCCTCTGCAGAATAGGGCATGAGGAAGGACTGGCCTTATTGTTAAATTCAGAGAGACCTGCAAAGGGGGCAGTTGGAGAAAGGATTATACAGCCCTGAGAGCGTGAGAAAGCAACTCAAAATAATGCCACCTTGATTTTGTTTAGAATCAGGTGGGGCAGAGAGAGACTTCCAAAGTTTTGTTACTCTACTTTATTACAATAAAGAGGATTCCTAGACTCCTCGCTGGGCCTGTTTCTTGACTCTAAAGGGCTGACAGTAGCTTATTTGAAAAGTAAAGCCAACCAACCAACAAAACACAAATAATTGAGCAGTAAAAGGCAGCTCAAAAGCATCTGCTTTTCAACAGTGATAAAGTCTGATGAGCTTGACTGCTGAAAATAATTCATGCAGGGTTTTTTCCTTTTTGTTTTGGCAAAAATATAGAAAGTTTATGGTGGCGTTCCTCCAGGGCGTCATTTATTTCTGATGATCTTTTAGCCTGAGTTTATAATCCTGGTATGTCTGGTTTTCCCTCTAAATCTTAAGTAGCTTGTTTCATTTTTTTTTGAGCCATTCCAGGTTGGTTAGCTGCTACTCAAAAGCAGATCCCTATTGAAGTGGACTCAACATTTACAGACGGAAATCATTGTGACCAGATCTTGAAAGTGATGGCTCAGATTAGGGATGAAATTCAGCAGGTTCTGACAGGTTCTGGAGAACCGGTAGCGGAAATTTTGAGTGGTTTGGAGAACCCGCAAATACCACCTCTGGCTGGCCCCAGAGTGGGGTGGGAATGGAGATTTTGCAGTATCCTTCTCCTGCAACGCCCACCAAGCCACGCCCACCAAGCTACATCACGCTCACCAAACCATGCCCACAGAACCGGTAGTAAAAAAAAAATTGAATTCCACCACTGGCTCAGATGCTTTTTAGACAATATATGTTAAATTGATGTATGTATTCTTTTTTATTAATTCAATGTATTGTCCGTCCAGCTATCCAAGAAGCCCAGGTGATGAACAAAATAAAAAATTAATAGAACAACAACAAAAGCCCAACCAAAACTGCATTGTGGCTCAGTAAACCATCAGACACATCCATCCATGCCACAACTTTGCTAGCATCCAGAACCCAATGACTGGGGGAATATTTTTATCATTTGGTTAATTCCGTATAAGGGCCACACTTAGACGCCTTATCTAGGACAGAGAAAATTCAGCCTTCCTATTAGTAGTAAACTGCAATTCCCAGCAGCCGTTGGCACTATGGGGAAGGGATTCTGGGCATATCTTTTTTAAAAAAAAACACACATTTCTTTAAAAGTTTATTTGTAAAAATGGAGGTCTTTGTAGACTTCCCACACATTCCTGGGTCCCTTACGCTAAATGTGAACAAAAATGGAAACATATTTCACAGTTGGCAAAATAGCTAGACTATGATTTTTCTTTCTGGATTTGGGTTTGGTTGACTTAATCTGCTCCTTCATCCTGTTGCATAACTTGAGGAATGCCTAACTGGACTCTGAAAACCAGGACGACGTTCTGAAGATTAGCCAAGGCCTGGGAAAAACCATTTAATGGGTAGCCTTTAACCTTGAGAAAATTAAAAACCACATTCTTTTTCCTTATATGTGTCTATAAGAACGTAGAAATACTTGAGGCTGGAACTTTGAGCAGAATTACTCAGTTTAAAAGATGGCATCGGATGACAAAATATTTCTGCAGTAAAGTTGTTTTCATGACAAAGAAGTCAAAGTTGCAAGCCTTTCACTGGCTGCCATTCAGCACAACACCCATAAAAACCCAAGAGGAACTTCAGTCCCGTGGTTATGACTTGCCATCTTGACTTTTTGGAAGACTCCTTAAACATTATATGAAGTCCTGCAGCATCCTGTTTGTGATTTCCAGAGTGGGGGAATGATCTCAGAATGGGTGGAACCAAACATTTATATCTCCCTCCCCTTTTTGCATTTTTATTTAAGTCAACCAGGTTTAAAGCGCAAAAATGATGCCTGAGTCATTTTATTCCCCCTATATATTTAATTTTTGCTCCTTTTTACTCTGGTACAGTTACTCTGCTGCTTTACTGGTGTTATGAAATATGCATCTAATCTGTTGTGTTTTATGTTCCAGCCAGTTCAGTTAGCCGGTGTCTGTCTGCAGCTTTAACAACAGGTAAATATATTATTCTTGTCTTATTTTTTTTGGTCACTTTCCTTAACACATCAAGACTTCACAAGAAAATTGGATACAGCTTGCACAATGCATAGAATCTTCTTCTGACTTCAAAATACCTATTACAGAAACCTCCTACAGTAATATGATTAAGGACAAGACTATTTTTTAGAATACTTTGGTGTCTCTAACGCAGTGGCGGGATTCAATTTTTTTTACTACCGGTTCTGTGGGCGTGGCATGGCTTGGTGGGTGTGGCTTGGTGGGCGTGGCAGGGGAAGGATACTACAAAATCCCAATCGTCTGGAACTCGGGAGGCAGAGAATAGATGGGGGCGAGGCCAGTCAGAGGTGGTATTTACTGGTTCTCCATACTACTCCATACTACTACTTTCCGCTACTGGTTCTCCAGAACTGGTCAGAACCTGCTGAATACCACCTCTGCTCTAACAATGTAAAAGCTAAGCTGTCCTCTTTAGAAAATCCCGTCCCGTATATTCAGGTAGCTTCCCAGATTTTTTAAAAGTAACTTTTATTGAAAAAAAATTACAGAATAAAAATAAAAATGTTTAAAGCAAAAAGAAAAGAAGAAAAATAATGAGAAAAATATAAAGAAGATTTTAAATTTAAATCCATTTAAGTCAGTGGTGGGATTCAAGTAATTTAACAACCGGTTCTCTGCCCTAATAATTTTTCCCAACAACCAGTTTGCCAAACTGCTCAGAAAGTTAACAACCGGTTCTCCCGAAGTTGTGCGAACTGACTGAATCCCACCACTGATTTAAGTCCATAACACAGAAGGTCTCAGGTAGCTTCCTGATATGTTTAGATTCTCAAGTGGTCCAGTTGGCTTTGAAACAAACCTGGTTCATCTGTGTTTATAACTGTAAGTCCATAAACTTGGCTGAAAATTGTTGCCTTTTCTTTTTACTTGTGAATGCATCTTCTTTAGAGTTGACAGTGTGTGCCATTCTTCTGGCTCAGCTAATGTTTTTGTTGTCATTTTGATTTTTCTTTAACAGCAGCCTCTTCTCACCCCAGTCCTTGATGTTTTAGTCCAGAAAGCCTGTTTGAATTCAGAAAGCCAAAGATTTTAAAAACAAAGGAGACCCAGCACAGCTGAAAAATGAACCCATACAACTCATCTTCAGACTTGATTTTCCCAAGAGCGGCCAACGAATCTCTCAATGCCAGTGACGCGATAGAGGACTGGGACGAAGGGACATTGCTAGGCCTAAAGGTTTTACTGGCAGCAGCTCTGGTTCTGATCACGTTGGCCACCATACTCTTCAACACCTTTGTCATCATCACAATTATCCTGACCCGAAAACTCCACACTCCTGCCAATTATCTCATTGGCTCCCTGGCTGCCACAGACCTCCTGGTGTCCATCCTGGTCATGCCAATCAGCATTGTGTACACGGTCACTCATCTCTGGACCTTTGGCCAAGTCATGTGCGATATCTGGTTGTCCTCAGACATCACCTGCTGCACAGCCTCCATCCTGCATTTGTGTATCATCGCCTTGGACAGGTACTGGGCCATCACGGATGCTCTTGAATATACCAAACGCCGGACGGCTGGCCGAGCTGCCATCATGATTGCTATCGTTTGGGTTCTCTCCATCTGCATCTCTATCCCTCCTCTTTTCTGGAGACAAGCCAAGGCTCACGAGGAGCTGGCCACTTGCACCGTCAACACAGATCAGATCTCCTACACGATCTATTCTACCTGCGGTGCCTTTTACATCCCAACCGTGTTGCTTGTCATCTTGTACGGCAGGATTTACCTCACCGCTCGATCCCGAATTCTTAAGCCCCCCTCTCTCTACGGGAAACGTTTCACCACAGCCCAGCTCATCACCGGCTCTGCGAGTTCTTCTCTATGCTCCGTGACTTCTAATCTTCACGAGGGACCTTCCCATCCGCAGGGCTCCCCGGTAGTTATCAATCATGTGAGGATCAAGGTAGCCGATTCTGTCCTTGAAAGAAAGCGGATTTTGGCTGCGCGAGAAAGGAAAGCTACCAAGACCCTGGGGATAATTCTGGGTGCATTCATTTTTTGCTGGCTGCCATTCTTTGTGGCATCTTTGGTCAACCCTATTTGCCAAGGAGCCTGTTGGCCTCTTCATATCCTGATGGACGTTTTCACCTGGTTGGGTTATCTGAACTCGCTGATTAACCCCATTATATATACTGTCTTCAATGAAGATTTCAAGCAGGCATTTCAGAAAATAATGCACTTTAAAAACTGCTTCTAGCTGCCTTGATTTTGGACCCTGCTCCCAATCATAGACTTCTATGCATAAAGTTTTCTATGTGGAAGTTCTCTGGGGTGGATTAGGAGCTGTTGGTAGTATTTTAGGTGCAGGCACTAAAAATAATTCAATGAATCCATGAAGTACCAGAGTTCTTGAGATTTTAGCAATGCAGTTCCTATGATTTTGCATAAGAACACTGAAATCTCAATATTATTTTACATTCTAGCCTAGGATCTTGCACATAAACATTGAAATCTTGGGTGATTTAAAGCACAGGGGTCTCCAACCTTGGCAACTTTTAAGATCTGTGGACTTCAACTTCCAGAATTCCCCAGCCAGCTATGTTGGCTGGGGAAATCTAGGAATTGAAGTGCACGTCTTAAAGTTGCCAAGGTTGGACACCTCTGATTTAGTGAATTCCTGAGGTTTGGGCCATTTTATTTATTTAATGTATTGTGTTTGTGGCTATTTTCATTTTGCTATTCTGTGGATAGCACTTAGAGGTATTAGAGGCAGATGTCATGTGCTTGATGCTGCTGGCTGGAGACTTTAATTGTTGCTTCGATCTCATTGACTGCATTCAGACAACCATGAATCGGCTGAACTAGCTGAGATGTGGATGAGGTTTTGGGTTATTGACCTAAAGTATGATCATCCAAACTAAGTTTTATCAAGCACAATCATTCACTGTCTTATCTAAAAAGGACGAGTCTATGTTGTTGTTAATTTTTTCTGCACAACTGGGGCAGGGATGAAGATCTGGGATGAAAACAGATGATTTTTAAAAATTAACCTCTCCCTTAGCTATAGGAAGGAGTCAATGGCAAGCCTTTTCTGAAATCTTTCCAAGAAAACTTCTGAAACTTGTCCAGGCAGTTTCCAGGAGTCAACACTGACTCAGGTACCAAAACAACAAAAGCAACAAAAATTAATATAATACAGTTATTTTAGTCTTGGCAGTTAGTAGCAGTGGCAAATATAGGTAGTCCTTGACGTATGACCAGAATTAAGGCCAGAATTATGATTGTAAAATGCTGGTTGTTAAGCAGGTCACCATCATATGGTTTTGCAACCTTTTTTTTGCAGTGGCCATTAAGTCATTAACACTACGGCCATTAAGCAAATTTTTTGTCTCCGGTGGGCGTCCTTTGTTAGAACTTTAAATCTGTGTTGTAAGTAGCCTTGGGAAGGTCTGTTGTTAAACAGTCACTAAGTGAGGACAACACGTAATTTGAAGACTACCTGTATCTTGCTATTCTTAGTTAACTCTTGTTAGATAGAGTGAGATCCATTGGAATCGGAAGCACTTACATTTCTTTCAAGTAAATTAAATCTTCTTGGATTCCCACAGGTCTGTTCTTAAGTATGACTAAATCTGGATCCAACTTGCCAATTACTGTACAGAAATTCCCAGAAGAAATACAGCTTTCTTGCTGGCAGAAAGATTGTCATGAGGGACAGTCTAAAACTTTTCTCCAATATATCAGTGTTCAAAGAGTTCTGGCTATTTATAATTTTGTCCCACAAGAGTGGTGTGGTGGCCTAGAGGTGGAGCTCTCGCCTCACAATCAGGTGGCTGTGAGTTCGATCCTAGCTAGAGGCAGATATTTCTCGCTCTGGACACAATGAGAATATATCTGCTACGAACTACGCATTGGCGACAGGAAGGGTAGCCGGCCAGTAAATACTCAGCTCCATTCAGTTGCCCCAGTGTTTTTTTTACTACCAGTTCTGTGGGCGTGGCTTGGTGGGCGTGGTGTGGCTTGGTGGGCGTGGCAGGGAAAGGATATTGCAAAATCTCCATTCCCACCTCACTCCTGCGGGAAAGATACTGCAAAATCCCCATTCCCTCCCACTCCTGGGAGAAGGATATTGCAAAATCTCCATTCCCACCCCACTCTGGGGGCCAGCCAGAGGTGGTATTTGCCAGTTCTCCGAACTACTCAAAATTTCCGCTACCGGTTCTCCAGAAGCTGTCAGAACCTGCTGAATTTCACCCCTCCTTATGACCATTCTTCACACTTACGACTATTACTGCATTCCCATGGTCACGTGATCAAAATTCGGACACTTGGCAACTGGCCTGTATTTATGACGGTTGCAGTGTTCTTGGAGTCACAATCTATTAACTTAACAACTGCAGTGATTCACTTTAATAAGTCTGGCAAGAAGGATCGTAATCACTGTCTCATGTTAGACAGTTAACCATTGTCTAGCAACAGACATTTTGGACTCCGTTGTGGTCGTAAGTCAAGGACTACTTGTACTGAAAAATGAGAGCATTGTACCTGGCCATCTTGGATTTGCAGAGGGACATCTCAAGTAAAAAACAGCAACAGTTCTGGTCTCGTGTGAAGTGGTTTCACCCGTATAACAGTTTAGGACTAACCATGGCCATATTCATATTCATATATTCATATTCATATTCATTCATTCATTCATTCATTCATTCAACCTATATGATGCCCATCTCACCTGGAGGCGAGTCTTAATTACCAAAACATTGCCTGCCTCTGTTTTAGAATATCAATCAGTTAGAGAGAATCTGAATAGACCAGCTAGGCTTCAAGTAATTCTGCAAATTAGAGACAAGCCACACCTGAATTATTCTCACCTGTGCAGTGAGCATGCACTGGTATAGAATTCCCATTGTCTCCTTTGGTTATGCTTTGTTTTGTTTTTAAATTCTAAATTTTCTTTTCCAATGTAGCTTCCAGGCTGGAATCCCCCAGTCAGTAGGAATTAAGACTGACTCTACATACTTAGCTTCTGAGATTAGTTTAACACATCCAGCAGGGGTGGGTTTCAAAAATTGTAGCAAGGGGTTGTCTGCTCGGTTGCTGGGTGGGCGTGGCCATGGTGGGTGTGGCCTAGTTGGCCTCCTGCACCACAGTGGGTACTTGGGAGGGGGTGTTTTTGCCCTCTCTGGGCTCAGAAGGCTTTCCTCGAGCCTCTGGGAGAGCGAAAATGGCCTCCCCAGGCTCCAGAGGCCCTCTGGAGGCCAGAAACGGGCCCGTTTCCGGCTTTCCCAAACTTCCAGTAGGCCTGTTTTTTGCCCTCCCCGAGCCTCCACGTGCGCCCTGCACTTACCTGCATCCAAAACGGGCTGTGTGGGGACTCCTGGGAGGGGAGGGGTGGGGTGCGCAGGGCCAGCCAGGAGTGGGATTTGGGGGTTCTCCGAACTGCCCAGAATCTTAGCTAGAGGTTTTCCCAAACCCCAGCAGCCCACCCCTGACATCCAGCCATGGCCATTTAAACAGCTATTCTGTATATTTCATTTCATTTCATTTCATTTATTAAATTTTTATACCGCCCCCTCTCCCGAAGGACTCGGGGCGGTGAACAGCCAGAATTAAAAACACACAATACAAATATTAAAATATAGTAAAACGAAATTAAATTATCTTTGGCTTCTCCAATTTAAAACCCCTTACCCATAAAATTCCCCAATTAAAAATTGTTAACCTTTTAACATGGGTCAGGATCCTGTGATCTCTGGTTTCATCTACAGCAGTGGGGTTACTAACAGGACTGGATGGATAGAAGGGCACTGACAATATCATCCACACCCATTTTTGCTTCTGTCTCCCATCATTGGCATACAACTCAAAAACAAATCCTCAACTTTTGCTTTCTGGTTTAGGCTGGTGTAACTGTTACAAGCTTTCCAAACAAGGCAGATGTGCTTCTATGTGTCTGTATTAAACCTGTTGTTTAATCCTGGATAAAATGGTAATGCATGCAGTCTAAAGCAGATCATGTTTTTTTTTCTGAGCATTGTCAATTCTCTGTATGGAAATATTTTGTTTTTTAAAAAATGCAATGTGAACGGTCCTGTTTGGAAATGATTTCTCTACCTTTTCACGTGTTGGATCTGGGCTGTCAAGGCCCCAGCAAAATAGGCAGCATGAAAAATAATTGGTTTTTTAAAAAATCAATCTTGATGCCTTCCCTCCACTCCAACAATCCAACAGCAGAAATCCAAATATTATTTCAATTATTTGATACATGCTGCTAGCCTCTCTGGCTGAACAGTCAAGGAACAGGCATGTAAGAATGTCAGGAATGCTACCGAGAGCCAGTTTGGTGTAGGGATTAAGGGATCGGAGTAGAGACCCTGGGTTCTAGTTTTGCCTTCGACAGGAAGCCAGTTGGATGACCTTGGGCCAGTCACTCTCTCTCAGCCCTAGAAAAGAGACAATGGCCAAAACCACTTCTCACATTTTGTTGGGAAAACTGCAGGGACTAGTCCAGGCAACCACAGGAGTCAAAAACTAACTCAAAGTTACCCCCACATGAACACTATTATTCTAAAGGATAATAGCAGAATCCCGAAAATGTCTCCCAATTTCTCTCTATCCCATCTGATACTAAACAAAACCAAGTTGTAATTTTTGAGTATATACCTCACATCCTCTTTTTCTCTTTTTCTCAGGACTTATAAAGCAAGGGGTGTCCAATCTTGGCAACTTTAAGATCTGTGGACTTCAGTTCCCAGAATTCCAGCTGGAGCCATGGGGACACAGTGGTTAGAATGTAGTAGTGCAGACTGACTCTGCCTACTGCCTGGAGTTCGATTCTGATTGGCTCAAGGTTGTCTCAGCCTTTCATCCTTCCATGGTCGGTAAAATGAGGACCAAGATTGTTGGGGGAAATATGCTGACTCTGTAAACCGTTTAGACTGGGCTGTAAAGCCTTATGAACTGGTATACAAGTCTTAAGTACTGTTACCAGGGGTGGGCTGCTGGAGGTTCGCAGGGGTTTGGGAGAATCTCTAGCTAAGATTCTGTGCAGTTCGGAGAATCCCCAAATCCCACTCCTGACTGGCCCACCCCGCCCCACCCCTCCCAGGAGTCCCACGCGGCCTGTTTTGGATGCAGGTAAGTTCTGGGTGTGCACGGAGGCTCAGGGAGGGCAAAAAACGGGCCTACTGGAAGTTCAGGAAGGCCAGAAATGGGCCCATTTCTGGCCTCCGGAGCCTGGGGAGACTGTTTTCGCCCTCCTGGAGGCTTGAGGAAAACCTCCGGAGCCCAGGGAGGGCAAAAATGCCCCCCCCCGTGATGCAGGAGGCCGACTAGGCCACGCCCACCATGGCCAACCCCGCCCAGCAACCGGGCAGAGAACCCCTTGCTAAAATTTTTGAAGCCCACCCCTGACTGTTACTATTGCTTAAAGTTGGCAAGGTTGGACAAACCCTGCTATAATCTCTTCTCCAAATCCCTTCCTAATGGTTTGTTCCTTCTCCCACTTAACAGCTCTTTCATACTTTTCCCCAAGGTCAGATCTCACTTCCTTTATGGCTGCTGACAACTTCCAGACAAAAAATGAGAGA